CATCTTCCGTAGCAATTTTGTTGGGATTTGTCATCCACTGATATCCATCGGTCTCTGCCACCTTTGCACCGGTATTGCTCTAATTACGTCCCGCATTTTAATTCAGTGTTTACTCTTTTTGTCAGCAATTCTATCAGACACGAACCCACGAGCAAAGCATCTCTTTAACGTTTACGTTATATCGTGTATAAATAAAGATTATTCACTGATTGCAACCGTCGATGCAACGAGATGAAGGAAAATTGCGACCGGCAAAGAAAAAAATATTGGTCACGCAAATTTTGTGTGGCAACACATTAAAATAGTTCCCAAGAACTAAATGTAACCTAAGTTCACTTGCCACAAGTGCGACAAGTCTACCGAGAGTGCGCGGAAGGCGCCAGAGACGCTCGGCTAAAAGCGAGTAAAGGCAACGAAATGTTTTGAAGTCGCGAAAGTGTATATTAACCTAAACCAAAAATGACCTGATAAACTAAAGCGGAATTGTCGACGTTACAACAGAATTTACGGTTTACAGCTGCCCAACATTTTGCTCGGCCAATTATTTTGTTTTGTTTTCTTTTGTGTTTTTTGAGACCACTTTGTCCGTTTGTTGAACTGAGTTACCCATACCTACATTCGACTAGCACATTTTCTTTATCGTCGTCCCAAATTTTCTGAATTTTGCTCGTATCAAGTCTAGGTAGATTGATCTCCTGTAAATACTGGAATGCATAACGCCATAGCAACGGCTACTTTCTAGAACATTTTTTCACTGCTTAAGTTATGATCTAATGTAAGCTATTTTTAGCTGAATTAAGATTACTTTATTAAAGAAGTGCAGCGTGTCTAGGTAACCGAATCGACCTGGTAACAGGACAGAGTTAAACAGAGGACAAGAATTTTTTTGCGTGTGATTCACAACTTGGAAACTCTGAAGTCTTGCATTAAGAAAGTGAGTTGCAACCTGTGGTTTTAACTGTTCACTGGCTGTCCCACATCCTCGGAGACCCAGGGGTAGTTAGTCGGGTCGATAAAATGTTCGTGGTGAAAGTTTACTGTAAGATCGATCTTACAGTAAATTTTCACCACGAACATTTTATCGACCCGACTAACTGCCCCTGGGTCTCCGAGGATGGCTGTCTCACAGACCGGTCAATAGATCCTTCGACAGGTTTTTATGTTCTACTTTATTTTATTTCATTTCCCCCTTTTTTTCTAGAAACGAAATTAGAAAAATTCAACAAAAGGTCCTCTGCTACTAGAAAAGGAATCTACAATTATTAATTAAAATCAATCGAGTTTGAGAATATGATATGGTAAAATATTGATATCCATCTAATTAGAACATAAAAACAAAAATCTCGGCTTATGAAAAAGTAACTTTTAATTGTACACAGCAATATTATATAATTTATGGTTTTCTATCCTTTTTTTACCTAACAACAAGACCGCTGACAGCAATGTTTTTTCATTGGTTCATTAAAGGAGCTGAGTAACGAAATTTATCAAAATTCAAACAGTAGAATCTGTCACCAAACTGTGTGAAACAAAAATAATCGTTCAAAACGTTAAAAGAAGCCGTATAAATAACACACGAGACACAAAGGAGGCGCAGATGGACAAACTTGAAAAAGAATGAAACGGGTTGCAATCGTGGTTTTTGAAAACTTGCTAGCGTACCAGTTTTTCAGGGTAATTTATAGGTTTTTGCATTGGTCAGATCGCACCCTAATCTCGGTGTTCTCTGGAACAAAGCCACAGATTTTCGGGGTGTTGCGGGCAACTGCCGATTGGCCAGCCCTACTGATTTTATCAGGGGCATCTCGCCCAGGAAACTGGACTCCCTTTGACTCGATTTAGTTTTCGTAAGTGATGAACGCGGATCCGTAATAATGATTACTTCATTACTTCTAGCACAGGTAGCCCAAGCTCGAAATATGATCATCGGCATTATTACGTAACACTCGAAATACAGCGGAAATATAAGGATTTATATAGGAAAAAAACCTATCGTTTCTGTAACCTACAAAAATGAAAGGATTTCAATAAAAACAGCTTACCTTACTTAAAATGTGTGTTACGTCTCTTGTGTGGTCCACGGGTCGATTTATGGACGCCGTTTTATGGGTTGCAGTGTAAATCGGCCCGTGGACCACACAGGAGAGACGTGACACACATTTTAAGTAAGGGAAACTGTTTTTTTAATCGAAATCCTTTCATTTTCGTAGGTTACAGGAACGATAGGCTTTTTCCCTGTACAAATTCCTATATGTCCGCCGTATTTCGAATGTTACGCAACAATGCCGATGCTCATATTTCAAGCTTAGACTACCTGTGCTTCTAGTATGAGCATTATAATGGTTTGTAACGTTTGATAGGCCTGGGAGACATATTGTTGGATACGAAGCTGTGGTTTTGTCATTCACATTTAAGCATTTCTCACTCTTTCGATACCGAATAAGGACGCGGAACTCAGACAGCTGTGACAATCAGCCTCTTTAATCTCTGGGGTGACGTAATTTGTCGGTCCGTCTGGTTGAGTGCGTAAATTGGTACTTGAGAAAACATATTACAGTTATCCTGATAAAAAGTAGAAAAGTGCTTTGAACATTTTATCACGTCTTGTTTGAAATAACTAAGTATAGACAATTGGAAAATTGTGGTCGACTTGCATGTCCACTCTACACGTAGATGTGTACCTGCCTTGCCGTACAAGCTTACAAATCTCGGTAGTAAAACGCGCTATGTTTTATAACAGTTCTAGTAATAGCGATGAGGCTTTCTAAAAATGTAGCGGAACAAACCGTCGACAAAACGAGAGGAATGAGCACATATTTGCTGGCAAACGCAAGAAATGTAGCCTGCGAAAATATCCGTTTCTCCTCGCTTTTCGCCGCCGGGGACGTTTCGCGAGGAGGAACGTCTGCGACTCAGCGGCAGAAATTCCATACTGGTGACGCAAACCAATGTTTACATAAAAAATCCAGTAGTCATGGGGTTCCAAATACAAATTGTCCAATTTTACGTGTCTTCTGGTTGATTTTGGTAAATTGGTGTGTTCAACTGCCAACGAGCTCCAGCAAAACTCAAATGCTTCTTCAAGAGAAGACTATATCCCACAAGTATTGACCGTTTTGTTAGAGATTCTTCGCGTTTACATTTGACCTTTGTGGCCTTTTGTCTTTTGTCTGTCATTCGTAAACAAAAGCTTACACAATGTAACTACTCCGTCGACCAATCAGCGCTTCTGACCAGATTCCGGACACATTTTACGTCATCAGTATGGAATTTCTGTCGTTGAGTCGCAGACGTTTCTCCGCGCAAAATGTCCCCATTGGCGAAGAGCGAGGAGAAACGGATGTTTTCGCAGGCTACAAGAAATGATGTGACGTAATTTTAAAAATTTCCAAATCAAAATAGAATGCTCACTTTTCTCCTTTTCAGTTTTAAAATATGCTACAACATCTTCACATTTATCTTCCAAATTTCGTTTAGAGCCCGCACTCACTTTTAAAAGCTGTTTGGTGGTGCTCGTGAGATCGCAGAGGTACGTGAACGGTCGAGTTTTTCATGCTCTTTTCCTTGACTTGATATCTGCCGCGGCTACCCTAAATTTAGAAATGTTGTGCCATACAGTCAATTTTAAGGCGGGTAAATAATCGCTATCAAGTGAATGAGTTTTTAAAAGGGTAGTGTAATGAGTCCGTATTTTCTACTTCGGAGGAAAATAGAAGAAAAACAATTGAAATAATCAGTTACCCAATTTTGACTAAGCAGTTCTAATATTTAGCCTGAAAAATGTGTATTCAAGCTTGAATTGTCAGCTTCAAGCTAGTTGCTAGTTTAGGGTGTTATGTCTTACTTATTACTAGCCACATTGGTATAGGTATATGAGCATGAGCATGATTGGTAGAAATATTTGGCGTAAATACCACGAGTGATATTTGAGACAAAATCTAAGACAATTTTGAAATATTACGAGTGGTATTTATGGCAAATATCACGTATCAATATCAATATTATTTGTTTATACGACTACGCGCAAAGGTTTTGTAATTTCAACATGTAGCTATTTCAAACTAGGCTGAAATACCACTGCTCTAAGCCAATGAAATTGCAGAAATTTCTCATAAGCCGATATTTTGCGACGCCACCATTGGTTTTGCTATCAAGAGTAATGTGTATACGGAACTGCCAAAGTTTTCCCTTTTACAGAGTAATATCAGCCCTGAGGTTTTATTGGTCAACTTTGTATGTGATACGATCACAGCAGTTAACTGGCCATTAATAGAGAGCTTTAGATTCTACGACGAGAACGACTACGAGTACCAGATTGTCTCAATACTATGAGAAAACTCATTACCTGACGAGGGAATTCCACGTTAAATTGCACGCGAAAACCGATATCGCACGAATCGCGTGGCAAAACTGAAAGAAATGAAGTGTCCAAGTGATAGCACTGAAAGTTTAACGTCTTGATTGATATAAGGTAAGTACCTTGAAATGTTTTAGAAATGCTGTTCAACTTCAGCTCTGTTTTGTACTTTTCTAAGTACCACGATTCAGGACGATTGCAAGCGGCGTACTCTTTTTCCTGTTTTCAGGGGCCACGTCGTATTGAAGGTATTTATTTCTTGTTTTGTATATGTGACAATCGATCCTGGCACTTCCTCCGTTGTCGCTTCTCCGTTTTGTTTGGTTGAAATTTGGCTTGCCATTTTCTGGGCCGTGTTCACAGGATTTTCTTGTTTTCTCGTCGTCACGAGCGAAAGAGGAGTTTTATGCCTCTCCAAGAATTTGTAGTTCAGTTCAAAACAAGGAAGAACCTCCGGCTCAAATTAAAAAAAAACGCTCTTGTTTGTCGTTAACTCTTTAAAAGGTGACAATGGTTTTGAAAACAGTTTTTAAGTATATGACATTGTAGAAAACCTTTTTTGCAGTTGTTGTATTAGAATTTGACGATAGTTGTTACGTAGATGAGAAACAATAACGCTTAGCCTCGTTTTTAACTCGCAATTCCACACCAAATACCTAGCTTCGTTAACCAATCAAAATGCCAGATTTTACGCAGTTATGCGATTCTAAGTAGTACATGCGCGTAAAGCAGCGTGATTTTGGCGGGAAAATGTGGTAGCCTTCGTCATTCTACTACGAGTTTTAGCGAGAATGTCGTAGTAGCGGAAACGAGTTATCAAATGTTAGAAGTTTTAGCATTTTGCGATCTGGAGAGCGCGTAACCTCCTTCACTAAAGGTAACAGTGCTTACTTTTCTGGTGAAACAAAGTACAATGAAGAATTCCGGGGTGTCTATTTTTTGACAATACGCGAAAAAACTTCAAATCAAATCTCTCGTAGTCGTTCTCGTCCTCGAATCTAAAGGACACTAATGTGCATGGCAAAAAAGCTTAAGTTGGGGAGCAAGGAGTTATGGGAGGGCGCAACCTCGCGATCCCATTTCCAGTCTTTACCGAGTTTGATGTGATGACTGTTCTCGTGCGCCACGCGCATTATTAAGAGATTGATCTGGCTCATAAAAAAAGCAGATATGATGTTTGTCTAACTGTCTTGTTGTTATAACGCGAGTGTTTGATTGCGAAGTTAAGAAAAAAGTTACCTTACGTTATGTCCTTCCGTAGTAATCGGCAAATAGTTGATCTGCCAGTTGGACACCGTTTAACATCAAACTAAGCGAAGTATTTGCTCGTTGTTCGAGTTGTTTTTCAAGTAATTTCAGCAATTAATTTTGTTTCTACTTTTAGGCCTACAATGCCTGGATATGAGTTATCTTCCGCGGACCGATTAGTAATCGACAAAAAAAATTTATGCCCTAAATGTGAGGGACTTCTTAGAGAAGCTGTGCAAACAATAGCATGTGGTCATAGGTACTGCAAAACATGCGTGGAAACGATTCTTTGGTAAGTACGTCGTGTGAGTCGTCATTGTCCTAGCCAGCTGAAATATCCTTAGCCTACCTCTTAAAGTAAGTAGTTAACTGTAGACAACAGCTGATAAATGACCCCTGGTTGTTCAAAAAGGTGGATAATGCTATCCACTGGATAAATAACTTTCCAGTGGGCAAAGCGCTTACGTTTCTCTAATACTTATCCAGTGGACAGTGATCTATCTGGGGGATAGCGTTATTCAACGTTTGATGAACTGGGCCAGGTGATAATAAATTTACCACAGTTAACTGGCAAACAAAAATCAGATAAATACCCGATAATCATGTATTCTTCGTATTACTGGTTGATACACATTGATCCCTGTCCCTAAATTTACAGGCAAGAAGTTGGAAAGTGCATCATCGATGGATCACATATTCATAGAGAACAGGTTTTCCTTTTTTTCAATTATGAGATTTATCGTTAGTGAAACCTTCTGAATACATTCTATAGCCTGGATCCAAACAGGCGCTCTATGAGCCAAGCGAGAAGAAAGTCGCCTTTCTTGTGCGGTTATTTTAGGGTCTGTTTACATGGAGGTGGGGGACCCCAGATAGGTGAGGTAACACGTGGTGGGTCACCCCACCTATCATGTAAATGTGATAAAATTAATATGAGAGATTGTATGGACAGGCGGGTTACCTCACCTACCTGGGGTCCCCCACTTCCATGTAAACAGTCCCTTAGTCAGAGAGTCTCAGTACGTAGAGTCTTAGTACGTATACCTTTTGTCGCGCGCCACCCGGTTCCGTGATGCTGCATCCTCATGCATCCCCCCGCTCACCCCCTCCCCCCAGCCCATCTCGATCCATTTCGATTATCTCAGTTGGAAGAGAGCTTGAATTCTGAACGGTAGGACGCGCGCTCAGACCCCGACCGACTGGAACAACAACCAAGGTCTCGGTTTGGGTGATCCCGTCATTGGGCGGTGACGTCCTTCTTTCTCACTTTAATTAGAAGGCGACGCAAGACCACTCTCTTGTTCGAAAAGAGTAAAAAAAAGTCTGTCCGTTGATATGGTCCACCTCTACCTCTATCAACACATGGCCAGCTAGCCACAAGTGACATATATAGAGGATATTACACGGTGGCGAGAAGATATGAATTTTATTTTCGAGTGGCAAAACAATATTTTATGAACGAGCGCAGCGAGTGAGTAAAATATTGTTTTTGCCACGAGAAAATAAAATTCATATCTTCAAGCCGCCGTGTAATGTTCTTTTTATTATATAGACAAAAAGACATCGATAAAATGATAGATTTTTATTCGGCAAAAAGTAATTGTGACGGCTCAAATTTACAGTACAGCGATATAAGACATTGTTTACAATAATCTTTAGAAATACCACTGAGCTGAATAGGGCTCTACAATGACAGAATAATTATAAGCAAAGCTTTGAAAAATGTGTAATTAAAATTCAAAGGACGCAAGACGCCTACAAGTTTTGGAGGGAAATTACCGAAATTACGTCATCGATAAACTCACGTGTGAGATTATGGAAAATAAACCACTCGGGTCCCGGATGGAGTTTTTATGAATTTTACGAGTGGTATATTTTCCAGTAAAACACTCGTGTCTATATCATAAATCACACATAAATGGACCGATACCGGACGTCAGTGGTGCCACTTTACGCTGACGTCCTATTATACTGTTAATAGAGAGATTTACAATAACGTTTACCGCAAACTGATAAACGTCAATTTGAACTACGTGATCAAGATTTTTTCTTAACATGTCATTTAGTGTTCAACAAAGCTACCCATAAAAAAGTAATTGTAGTTTCATGTCTAGTTCATCCACAAAAACTATTTTGGACAATTTTTCTCGTTTCATTTTCTAATTCAAGAAATTTTCAACTTGAATGTGAGGTTTAAGGTTTGTCGTAAACGCGATTCTAAATCCCCTATAAGATATCACCCAAGGAGCACACATAAAGTTGTCTTATCCGTCACCTTCCAAATTATTTGCCAACCTTCTCGTTTACTCTGGATGGGTCAAGTAGTAACTGTTAATTTCGTGTCTAATATATGATAGAAATTCTTTGTTTCGTATCACTCTGCAGGTATTTTTGGACCGCTTTGTCGAGCGTGAGATTCAGTCACTTTTGGTCCATTGCATTCATCAAGAGAAAGGATGTGATTGGAAAGACGAGCTTAGAAAACGAGAGGTAACAACTAAGCTTCTATATGATGTTCAAATAAGTAATGATGTATACCCACTTCCAGCCCTACTGACAAGGGCGGTCCCAGTCGGGTTAATCTGTAGCCGTGAAACACTGAAAAGCGGTCACTCGTGAGGCAAAAAATATATTTAAACATTTTTACCGTACACCCTGTCATGAATGTACCAAGATTGCTTTAAAAGATTTTTCGTCTTGTCTTCAGGCTATTCATTCTATTATGGTGCTTTAATAGACCCTCTGTGATGCCCGTGCTCGTATCAGCTGGATTATCTATGAAATATGTAGAGATGTAGATATAATAGACGAGATAAAGTGGTTTTCAATTAGGCCGAAGTAGTTTAGGGTGCAAGATTTACTCCGTGTTTTGGCGCAGGAATCTCATCCGCGCGTGTAAGAACATTATCGGAGTAATGAACAATCTTCAATTTGACTAAAGAAGTATAGGGCGCATGATTTAATCCTTGTTTTGGAACAGGAATCTTATCAACGTGAGTCAGAACATTATCAGAGTAAAGCGATTTCAAATTTGGCCCAAGTAGTTTAGTTCTTTTTCAACATGCTAATGAAGTCTCAGCCAATACTAAATAAGAGAAAACAAAATAAAATTACTGTAATCTTACGCGTCTTTCTTTTATCGCTATTGGCAACAAAACATTTCCTCTGAGTTCCAGGGATCCTACCTGGACAGTTGCCGATTCTAAAACACAATTCCCCGCGTATTGCTTTAAATTATTGTTAGTACTATCTCGTTCATCATTGTCATAATTGTCAATTACGTGTTCTCATTTGTTAGGATCACCAGGCTGTGTGTGAGTACGTTCAAGTTCCATGCGTGCATTCAGGATGCGGTGAACTGGTGACTAGAGCAAACCTGGTAGAGCATCTTGAGAAGTGGTGTCAATTCAGAATGGAAAAATGTGACCACTGCCAAACACTTGTAGAGTTTGCATTTTTGAAGGTAACAATAACCCTCACAAAATTTTTTTTTACCCCTGAGTTGTCGTGATTTGGGATACGATCCTTTTAATACGTTACTTTAAGCCTTAAAGTATACTTTTGCGTCTTCCTTTGCAACAATAAATTTCCTTGTTTCGAGACAATTCTTTGGTATTAACGTCTTTAAGGACCACTCATTTTTAATTTCCCTTTCTTCTCACTCTAACCATTTCTTCATTCCTCTAACCCGCTAACAACACAAATCACCAGAAGTCGGTGCCGGTATTAAGTCTCATAAACAAGAGATCTTGTCTTCTTAATTCAGTACCCAGTTAGCTTGGATACTTTGTTCACAGTGACCTCTAAACTAGTGACTATTAAAATTCATTATGCACAGGATCACCAGGACTCTCAGTGTCCCTACGTCCCTGTGGCTTGCACAGAATGTGGAAGAAAGGACATACCTCGTTCTCAGGTGAGCAAACTGATGTTCACGAGCACTTTATGCCTGTCAAGCCAACCGAAAACCCGACAAAACCAAAAACGGTGCACTTGACTGCTGTACCTGAGTCTAAATTCATTCTCTTTCTTGCTCCGATAGGTTTTTTTCCTGGTTCTCTGTATTAGCAAGCTCCAGCTCGAAAAAAATAATCCAAATTCCAATTTGATTTGCATGGAACGCAAGCACTTGTATAAACGGTTTCTTAGCAGCTAGCTCCTAGATGTTTCGTGGGTGGCAAAATATAAAAATTCACATTTTACATTGATTTCACATATACTTATAGTTATAATGAAAAAAAAGAGACGTTCGAGATTTAACTTCGGTCGCTATATTTATTACATCAGATGCCAGCCCATACTGATCCGGTAAATGGAGACTGTGAGGAATTACAATCAAACTGTCCCTGGGCACAAATTGGATGCCCTGTGACAAAGGTATGCAAATACTTAAGACTACTTAATATGCAAAACAGCAATCATTTGGTAATCTGTGGGTGGGTTGCGTGTTAATCAACGCTTCTCTTCGTTAATACACTATTTCGTTTTCGTTTCTTTAGACTATGAAGCTGCAAGAACGAAGGAAGCATGAAGAGGAAAATGCTTCCGGTCACTTGATGCTCCTTTTTCAGACCGTACTGCAGCTGTTCTCGATGGTTGGTAGGACCATGCGGGAATCTGGACACGTGTCAATGAATGGCTTAGATATACCAAAACAGAAAGATTTGGAACGCTATGCTAAACAAGTTGAGAATATACTGAAAGAAAATGAAGAACTCAAATCAAAACTGGTTCAGCAAGAAGAAAGAATAAGGCAACTGGAAAGTTCTAGACAGAACAGGTCAAACTCAGCATCGGCATTTGATCCAACGTTCACCAAGGAGCTTTTACAGAGGTTAACTACAGAAGAAGGAAAGACGGCCAATCTCGAGCTTTTGCTCGTTGAAGCAAACAGATTAAATGAAGAACTTCAGAGAAAGGTGTCTACCGTAACTAGGCAACAGGAGTCTTCGAATGGAACAACTGATCGGCTACAAAGACAGTTCGAGTCTATGAGTCACTCACTAGCACTTCGTAATGTTATGCTGACAGATTTGGACGAATCTGTGAGGCAGCAGGAAGTCTCCAGTCACGATGGAATTTTGCTTTGGAAAATCACCGAGTTCGCTAAAAAACGGCAAGACGCCGTCTCCGGGCAACAGACGTCATTTTATAGCCCGAGCTTCTTTACCAGTCGCTATGGGTACAAGATGTGCGCGCGCATCTATTTAAATGGTGATGGTATTGGAAGAGGGACACACATCTCGGTATTCTTTGTTGTCATGCGTGGTGAGTACGATGCATTACTCCGCTGGCCATTCAGACAGAAGGTTACGTTCATGCTGCTGGATCAGAATAACGTAGAACACGTGATCGACTCCTTCAGACCTGACCCAAACAGCTCATCCTTCCAGAGACCAAGAAGAGAAACAAACATCGCTAGTGGGTGCCCTACATTCTGTCCTTTGTCGGAATTAAACGATCATGCCTACGTCCGAGACGATACTATGTTTCTCAAGGTCATAGTCGATACGACGGATTTATAACACTGATTTAGAAGCCTGCTCCAATATTTCAGATCATCGAAGCATCACTCAGCAAAGCGAGAGCGAGAAAAACGGCAAGAGACTCAGGATAGATGGGCTTACGCTGGTTAAAGTTGATGCTGACATGGGCTCAAATGAGCGCAACGTTTCAATCTCGCTCCAAGAATCCTCTCTTGATAGCACCTTCCCTTAATTGGTTTCGGTTTCAGAAAAAAAATCAGGTTTTCGAACTCTGGAGGCAGTGAAGCTAGCGGGAGACTGGGGAGGGAAAGGACGGGGAACTCGGGCAACAATTAACCTCGATCTGGCATGCATTCTTCTATTTAGGATGTTGTATAAGGATATAATACTGACTTTGTTTATTTTATAGACGTATAGTCTTACCTGGTTAAGTTCTAACACAGGTAGTTTTTATATATGGGTTATCTCACCATTAGGAGTTTTAAAAAATTTTGTACATAATTTTGTTTAGAAAGAATATTTTTACGAACAAACAAGAAGGAAACAACAACAACAACAAAAAATGCTAAAGAGAAGAAACATGCAGAAGTTGATAATGACTTGAAATTACCGAATTAATAGTGAACTGTGAGACGGTATAAGCAACTTTGGATTTGAAACGATTTGCAGACCTTTTTTTACAATTTAGAGACTTACATTATGAGTGGACAAACAACTTGAAAGTAAGTCATACTTACAGTGAGCTATGGCAATCGAGTCGTGTATGTTCACCAAGAAAAGTATATTTCTATATTTAATCTGTTAGACTATATATAGAAGGCATATTAGAGGGGGTTTTACTCCGGGTGCTCCGGTTTCCCCCTGTTAGTTCAAATCATATCTTTATGGAAGTGCTACCGATGAAAAAGAAAAGGAAAAAGTGTATTATTTGATATTCAAAATGGACTTGTCCTAGTAATAAGTGAAGAGACTCGATGAACTGAAAAACACAGTGAAACTTGGATGCCAGAGGCATGCAATGGAAACTAAGACCAATGCTATTATTTATTAAAAATTGTTCCGCCTTTGTGATATCGCGTTTAAGAGGATGTAAACAGATCCAAGACTCACCAGCCCATGTTACAGTCGTGTAGTCTCAAATGATATAGCCATTATGTTTCCTCATAGGTAGTGTTATATGTAGAAATTTTCAAATTTTTTAAATGCTATTTTTAAAAAAAATACTTTAGTTAACGGACAAACACTAAGAAATGAAAAAACATGCTGACGTTGACAGAGACATGTAATATCCCAACAATGAAATATGAGGCAGTATAGGCAACTTCCGAATTTATTCACGATTTTGACGTTTAAGTGGACACACAACTGGCGAAGTCATAGCTGGAATGAGTTATGGTATTCGAGTCGTGTATGTTCACCTAGATGAGTTAGTATATTTTATTTTATCAATTGAACTTGTAAGTGCTACTTAAGTTAATAATTTAACAGAGTTCAGTAAGTAAAACTGTGGGGATGAGAAAAACGACACGAAATGTCACGTTTGAATGGATTTTTGATATACCAAAAAGCTTTTCTTAACTGAGAAAGGAATATTGGATCGATGGTAAGAATAAACTAATTGTAATTGTGAGATTTTTTTTATTAAAACAAGTCATGCGAGGCCTGGTCTAAGTTGCTCTGCAATGTAAACATGCCTAAGGGATTGAAGAACTTTTTAAAAATTGAAATGATTAATTATGCTTCATGTTCCTTTACATAATTACGAGAGTTATTGATGTTGGCGGAGTCTCGAGAAATACTCTTGCTATACTAGTTCAAAGGTCTTTCTTTTAGCAATTAAAAATAAAAAAAAATAAAAAAAATAGACCGTAGGGAAATTTATCTACAAAAATGGAAAATTAAATTTCACCGTTCTGAATTTCTCACAAGAACAGGTGTTCATAATTCAATGTGTTATGGCAATATTGTGACCATGACATCATCACATAAACACTCCAAGCAGATGTGGTACATAGTAGATGTTCGAGTAGAACAGCTTTTAGTTAATATGTGACATTTGCATAGAGTCCGTCCGGAATCCTGCCCAGGCAGCTGAGCAAGATGGCACCTGGCATAGAAGTAATATCACTTATTAAAAATTTAGGAATAAAATTGAGTAAACTATTTTTAAAAAGTAAAACAAACTAAAAGACACATTTTCCGAATAAAAGGTTGACTTGTGAAGAAAATACCCATCCGAGTTTCAGTAAATTAATCTTAGTCGGAAGCTCACTCTGACTATAAACCAAGAGTTTTATTAACTTGATATC